TGGTGCCACTATTGTAGTGCTGTAATATGAGTTGCAAACATTGAGGGGCATGACAATTTGTCTCATCTCCTTAACTTTATTTTCTTTCTTATTGCTATTTATCAGCTGGAAGAGAAGGGCTGGGAGTTGTGAGCTGTCAGTTGCAAAATGGCCATTTTAGGGCTGCAGCTATTTGACTCTCCCAACTGTAAAGGGCCAGTCCCAGAAAGGCATGCAGGTAGTCCCAGCTACTTTGTCACATGGGGATGTGTTTTAATCCAAAGTAACTTTGGTGGGAAACATCTAATGAAAAAGGCTCCTGATAATCGTAACAATTTTGTAAGATCTGGTGGCTTTTTTTTTTTTTTAAACAAATCTAAATGTTGTCAGAATTACACCTGCAGTAACAGGTTGCAAGCGTGTGTGAGGCAAAGCAAGATAACCCGAATGTCTTGCAACCGAATTCTCTTCTACTCAGGCTGGTATGCGTTTGAAAGTTTAATTTGCCATGCCTTGAAAATAATATTCCAAAGAAAAGAAAATGACAGTTTTTCCTGTGTAACCTACTTTTCATTATTGTTCCCTTGTACGAATCCTAAATTCATACCTGAAGCACTTTCACACATGGAGTCTGGGTACTGTCGGAACAAGCATTTGAGCCTGGGTTTATTCAGATGCATTTAGTCTTCCTTAGCATTCGCCTTCAATTTTATTTCTTGTGGTTACAGATACAAAAAACCCACTGACTTTAAAAGGAAGAAACTGCAATTGTTGACCAAGAAACCACTTTATCTTCACCTCCATCAAATATTGCACAAGGAATGACCCTTTTGTGAGACTTCTGTGAACTAAACCACTTGTCACAAATCATGGTAGCTGCGTGTGTAGCATCCCCATCCTTCAACAGGCAGGAAAATGGCTGTACTCGTGCCAGTAGGTCAGATGAGACCATCACACACTGCACAGCAATATCACAGGGTCAGAGGTGAAGCCTACCATTCAGGTGCAAGTTTCTTCCAGTACCTTTTGGATACCAGTTTTATCACAAGCGGGCTGAAGTATTTTGTGACAATTTCTCTTCATAATTGAGCTGTTTCTAAAATTTCAATTTTGTAACTTACCTCTTGTTTTTACCCTTGCTTCAAAAACCTTGCTAGAGGGTGGGAAGTGCCCCATTCACCAAGCCTGATGCAGCAAAATGTCGTGGCAGGTTTGCTAGCTTGTTTACTCTTGCTATCTTTGCTATTGCAGTCCCTCACATTTTAGAATCCTTCACTCTGTCTTGTTGGGAGGGTGGGGGAAGGTGATAGAAAAGGGATTTTACAGAAAGGAAGTGTCTGTGAGTGGTTTAAGAAGCAGTAGGAGGATGGTGGTTAGAGAGAGAGATTCAATCCAAAGTTGAAATGCTGCTCTAGAACATCTTGTCAGCCTGCTCTTTTGTCTTATCTGGCTAAGTGGCAGAGGAAAGGAGGGAGAAGCGTTGAGGGTAAAAGGGAAGGTGCTGATGAGACAACCAAATTGTCAATTGTTTATCTCAATCCCATTCGGATAGTTCCCAGACTTGCAGCATCTAGTGTGTCATGTGATTTCAGGTAGAACTTGTCTATTATTACAAGTGTTGGAATCCCTTAAAAATCATGAATACTTAAGGGAACAACCTTCTTACATTTTTTTTTCTATACTTTGTATTTCCTACCCATTTTCCCAGACAGTGGTGTACAAAGGGGCATGTGTGGGACAGCTTTGGGGGCCCATCCTACTACCTTTGCTGTCAGTGGGAGTTTTACCATTGATTTCACAGGTGGTAGGATCGGGCCCTTACTACTCAATGTTTTTGGTGGGGGCTTTATGCTAACAGCTTGGAAGTGCTCGGCTATCTCAGGCTGTGGACTGAAGACAGACACGCCTTCCCATGAAAAACTGTTTTCATAAAATCTGATTGTGGATCTTTGCATACCTCTATTTGTATGCAAGTCTGGAAACTTAGTCTAAAATAACCTGGTTTTTATGTAGGTAGATAGGATTATCATTTATTTTCTATATTATTGAGATGCATAGTGTGTAATAAGCTGCAGGGCATTGGCTTATTATAACATGAATATTTGCATCCACCTTTTAACTTAATAAAGGGACCGAAGTAGAACCCATTCGAACTTTTCATATATTCAATGAGTGGAATATTTAATACAGTTCTTCAAGGTCTGATGTGCTTCATGTGTATCTTAAATAGTGCCTACATACACACTGCTATGCTAACAAGGACTAGCTCCAGGAGAATGCAGTGTCAAGTGTTAGCTTTTCTAATAGCTTGGATGTAAATGTACCATTAACGCCTTTCTTTCTGCACCATGTAATACTAACTCACTCCAGAACACTGTTTAAAAAAGTGAGGGAAAAGGATTTTTTCACTTTTCACAGCAGTCTGTTTATGGAGTGTATCAGGGGTGTTCCTTTCTGCCTCTAGTACAGTGATTTGAAGGGAACTATAATGGGGATAAAATGAGGCCTTTTGGAAGTTGGAAGCTGAATTTATTCTCCCCTTCTTTCCTCTCCTCGGGCTTAATTGTAGATGAGCTCACCTCAGTGAGCAATTATTTGGCTAATGGCTGAACTGTATTTTCCTGTTAACAGTTCTAAAAGGGACCCAATTACATTATAACCTTTTACAACGTCATGCCTGAAACAAACACTAAATATCTTGATTAGTTTTGTTAAAATAAATGTAAATAGAATCGGCCATAGTGTTCCTCCATTGTGTCTGCTGGTGTTGTACAAAGGAAGGAAACATTCATTAAATAAACTGACAATATCTTATAGGTGCAAAACCACAATTTTTCACCACTGCAAAAGGTGTAGTGTACGACCTTGATCATCCAAAGCACTTGCTTAAAGTTAAAGTCAGTGGGTCTCTCTGCATGCACCAGTGCTTTGCTGAATAAGGTTCTAGGCCTCGTGTAGCCTTTTTAAAGTTCATTCTAAGAGGCTTCCATGTTTTCCGATGTGTACATTTGTCCTACTAAATAAATAAATATTTTGTGGCTATGTACTTGTCTACACATGAAGTACTCAAATACATCTCCATATAAACTGTCCTGTTAGGTGATCATCAGTCAGTTAATGGGGAAAAGTTAAAACCTACTCATACCCTCTGTATGTTATACTGACTCCTAGGGATAATCCTTTCAAAGTTAAGAACTATTTAAGATGTTAATTTAGGGGAGTTAAATGAAATGGAATAAACTTGCTTGGGGGGGAATATAATAGGTTAAACTTTAACTTGAGGGATTTGATTTTCAAAGATGGGTGTCCTTAAAATGCATATGTAATAGATGTATACAATTAACCAGTTACATGTCTACTGGTGAATGTTTATGAGCCAATGTGTACACTAGTGCCTACAAATTAAACATGTTTTCATGTGAAACAGATCCAGTTGTTTTAAACTATCACCCTTGAAGTCCCTATTAACTGCAATTGTATGGAATGTCAAGTGCAGTACAGTTTGAAACCTTCTTTGTTTCAATATACAAGTAGAGCTTTGTATTTAAACTAATTGTAAATGAATGTTTGTAGAATGTTTTTTTGAAGTCCATTCTCTCCATTTTTTTCATCCTTCATGATGTAGCGATCCCTGAAAGACTTTCCCAAGAGTGAAACATAGGGTGCTGCTTGTATAGCTATGCACAGTGGTGATCTACAATTCTGCTATATCAGTCAGAAATTGAGTTTAGCTAAAAGGTCATTTCTTATAGTATTTGAATAACCTACCTACAGTTAAAAGTCAAATAAATGGCTGCTTGTATGTGGAAGTAAAGATGTAGTTTCTGAAATTAGCCCTGCACTAGATTTTTTTTTTGTTTTTGCTATCCCTCTCCCCAAAAGAGAAACTATTCAAAGCTTTATATGGCAGAGGGTTCAGCTTTGCTCCCCAGAATGGATCTAGCTTCCCAGAACAGTAGAACCTCAGAATTATGAACACTTCAGGAATGGAGGTTGTTTGTAACTTTTTAAACAAAAGTTCACAACTGAATATTGACTTAAGCTTGGAAACTTTACTATACAGAAGAAAAATGCTGCTTTATTTTTTAGTAGTTTAAGACAATACAGTACTTTTGTCTCTAGTGCTGCCTGATTGTTTACTTCTGGTTCCAAATGAGGTGTGGGGTTGACTGGTCAGTTTAACTCTGAGGTTCTACTATTCATACCTCTATTTTAAGAGTATGAGGATTTCACTTGAGCTATTTCCTATCTTCCCTTGTAGCTGTTTAATCAGCTCACCCAATGCCCATTAGAGGCTACTAATACTTGCAGACTAGCACCACTTCAGCCTACAGGAAACTTACTTTTTCCCTCCCAAACCATTTGCCAGGGGGAAATTCTGTAAGCTTAAAATATACCTTCCCTGAAAGTTGATTTTGTAGAGTATAGTTCCATGTGTTTAAACAATTTGCTAAACTCCATGATTACACAGGATAGACATAGGTGCTTTGTAAAGGGCACTTTACTTATTATTCATAATCTGAATTCAGACCACTAATTGAAGTTCTAGCCTTTATTGTATTTTTGAAACTCCCAGGTAGACCTGTGATGCAACACTGAAGAGGTCAAAGTATACAAACTTTGAGATACACAGTTGTGCTTTTGGGAGGTGTTTTTTTTTTTTTTTAAACTGCATTGGACCCAAACTTCTCTGTACTGCAGTTAAGCAAATGGGTCACAGGCTAGCCTGGCTTTCACTGCAATATCTACATCAGTTCAAGGCTGCCTACATGGGCAGAAGTGATGTAAGATCTGATTACAGTTCCATAAATCCCACATGATTTACATCTCTTAAGCAGGGGTTTGCTAGAGCCTTATCTTCAAAAGGTTGAGCTACTCATACAAGCAGTTGTACAAGTTTTACACAAGGAGTGTAGAACATTTAAGGTTACTGTTAACTCCAATCACAATGACTAAGTGTCTTTCTAAAGAACTAGCTCAAGTTGCTTCCATGACAGATTCACTTGCATGCTCAAACAAGATCTAGCAAATTGATTTTGCTCTTTATTAGTAGAATTTTCCTTCGAGTACAGGGTAGCTTGTATTCGATCTTTTTGATGAGACATCTTAAAAAGGTAAATAATTTTACAGTCTTATTGTAGACCCTTGGTCTACAATAACTGCGGGTTAACGTAAGGGAGAAGACAAGTTGGGTAACATTTTACTTACAAAAATATTTCCACAGGAAATGTTTTGATTACATTTTTCATGAAATTTTAAGTCATTCAACAACTGGTTACATAGGCTACATTAATTAAAACCAACCACACAGGTACTTTTGTATTGCACATTTAAAGAGCTGCAGGTAGCCCACAGCTGTAAGAAGCAGGCTTCAAGTCCATCATAGCATATGATTTTTGCATCCCCAGTGGGTGAGTGTTCTTTAAGGTGATCTCAAATGCACATGGCTAGGGAAATTTGAGGGAAAAGTAATTCTGCAAGAACTAATATACTGAAACCAAACTTAAGAATAAAATTAAAAGATGGTTGTCTTTTGAAGCCATTTAAAGTCCTAACTGCATGAAATGTGCTAGAGTCCATTCCACAGCGTTGCCATCCAACAGCTGAAGTTATGGTTTTTGTTCAGGAGGATGTGTGTAGTCCCTGGGGCCTGCTGGTGATGGTGGACAAGGAGGGGCTGGTGGGTAGTCTCTAGATCCTGGTGGAGGCAAGTCTCTACTTGGAGGAGGGGGATAGTCCCTTAAACCTTGTGGGGGTAGCCGTGGGCCAGGAGGATAATCTCGTGGGCCAAGAGGGCCTCCAGGTCGAAAAGGAGGAGGGAAACGTACATATCCTCTTGGATCAGGAGGCGGTAATGGGCCAGGAGGCACGTCTCTCATTCCTAATGGTGGGCCAGGTAAATAGTCTCTTGCAGCTGGAGGTGGTGGTGGAGGACCACGAACTGAAAGGAAAGGGGAAAGACTGAGTGATGATGGAAGTGCCACCTACATTGAAGTAGTGACTACACCCATTTAAGGAAAATGATACAGAAGTTTCCCAATGTCAGCCTGTTCACATCCTGGCCCAAAGCATTTCAGCTAAAGAAAGATATGCACCCCAGTCAGAAAGAGGTGCCCATAGAAACGGCAACCACACACTGAAACGTTCAAGACCACAAATGCCTGCCGGGGAGATTTTTGGCAGCTAGAGTTTTTTTTTACACTATTACTACTGTACAACAAACAAAGGAGCCATATTCAATGATGCTCAGCAAAGTGATACCCTGTGAGTTCCTGTATGTCTACATAATTCAAGTGTAGACATTGAGGGCTGGGCTCTTGGACCCTCCCCCGTTACATTTAATTGCAGTGTAGACATGCCCACTAGGTGTTTAAAGGAGAGACTCTCACTGCTTCAAACGGATATGGAGGAGCTACTGGAAGTAAAGTTAAACTCAAGTATAAGGTATTCATACCTAAGGGTAGAGGAAGGGGCCGAGACCCATAGTGCCCACGCAGTGGAGGTGGCAGTGCTCCAAATCGAATTGGAGGTGGCGGAGGTCCGGTCACTGGAGAGGTCATTATGGGTGTCCCAGGAAAAGATGGGGGACCTTTAGGACCTAGGTTCACCTGTTCAAGATGTTGGTTTGAAACTTTAGTGAAGAATATGATTTGTGACAATAAGCAAATATACTGATGCTAAAACACCAGAACTAACCCGAGTGCCAAGAGGTAAGAAAACACAAGTAAGGGCAAAACAGCCAAAGAGCAGCAAGTTGTCAAACCTCCCCCAAACCTTTGCAGAGCATGGAGTGTGCTGCCTTTTGAAGAATCCAGTTTAGGCCATACAAATTAAACAAACTTCTGGGATGACCGCTCTATGGTACAGCACAGTCATGACTAACCCCAGCTCCCAGATGCTTACCCCTTTAAAATGCCAGTAGGCCCATACCACATTGCTGGATGTTAAATGCTAAAAAACAACTCCTTTCTTCCTGTAGTACGGGTTGAGAGATAATCTAAATCCTTCTGTACCACACATATTTAGATGCAACAAATATCACATTTCATTGGATTACTCTTACAGTTCTCCTCAAAGATAAATGTTTGCATGCAGTCTTTGACAAAAACAATAGGGTTTTCCATCATATTGCAATAAAAATCAGACATAGTTACGTTAACTGAACCATCAACAGGAGTAAAGAAACCTTTAAAAACAGAGCACCCATGGTTAGTTTTGCAGAGCATTTAGCTATTCAGCAATTTGAAACACCATGCCCTTGATTCCTCACCATGAAAGCAAGGAGTGCACCAGCACCATATCCAGTTGCCAAATACTCACTGCTGCTGCTTCAGAAGATGAAGGCGGAACAGTAGATACACACAGGGCTTCAGAGTCTTTGGGAGGGTTTTGCTTTTGTTTTTGGCAGTAAATGACGGACAAGGGATACAGACAAGATAGAACATGATACACAATTAAGAAGAGAAGCAGCAGGTACAGTGGGTCACAAGAAATGCTGCCTAAAGTGTTCTTGTGGCAGAAGAAAAGTTTTCAGCTTACCACTCCGTCCATGGATGTGGAAGGTGAGGAGGTTCTTGGCCCACTATTGACCAGGGCTGCTACAGCAGGGCCGAGATCTGTAAGAAAAGCAGAAGTTTCATATGACTTTACTCAGCTTTGGAAGAGGAACCTGGGCCTTCAATTACACGTTTCCAATCAATAAACAGCTTATTGAAGGGGTTGGAGGCTACAGCTCACGTAACACACCTGGGACAGATGATCTTCCAGACAGCTCAGGTGGCCTCCTTGGAGCTGAAGGGCCATCCACTACCGTACATTAAAAGAAATATAAAACACAGAGCTCAGACACAGACTTGTTAATTCAGCTAGCTACTTCTATAATAAATCCATATCTTCTGTACACTAGCCCCTACACATCACTAATTGCATACAGGTTCAGTGGCACCACTAGGGGTAGAGAGAGAAAACTAAACTTTGGGAGCAGTTTCCTTTTGAACCCTTTGATAGAGACAGAATTTCCCAGCACTATCCCCCTATGAGCCAGCAGTGAAAGTGCAGGAAATCCTTCCTTAGGGAAGGGGTTGTCACTTCAGCACCTCCAGAAATAAAACAGCATAGATTTTGAAGCATTTTCACAAGGTGTAGCATTTTGGATTATTTGAGTAAGAAATGGATTTTTTTTTTTTTTTAAACTAAGTGAACCCTTACAGTGAAGGTAAGCTCATTACTTAATCTAATGTGGACAGAAGCAGTCTCTCCAATCACTCTTTTGCATGTGAAAAACTCAGAGGTGTAAATGCATCTATGTACAAGTATAACTGATGGAATCTCTAGCTGAAACTAAGCTGATTAAAAACAAAAAAGTCAAATGCTCTACCAGGCCCCCCCTTGATCTCAGTAGTACTGAGACTTTCAGACTAGAGTTTCTTTTCAACAAAATTTGTATTTGGACTAACCCATATGTTAAACAATAAGCTTCAAAGCTAAAATGAAAATTAACATGCACCCGTAAACTTGTGCTGAATGAGTTTCTGACCCTTTCTGGTTTGCCAGGGACATCCCAGAATGCACTGTTCTGCAACACCACAGATACGATTAACCCTATCCAGAGAATTTCACAAGACGAAAAAAATAATTTCAAGAACGAGAGTCAGCACAAAAAGGCATTGTATGACTACCCCTCTCAACGTGGTTAAAGTGAGAGCAGTCACTGTATATGCCAGCTTTACTCAAGTTCTCTCTTGCAGTTCACTGGTAATACTGTCTAGGAACAATAAGCGCTAGTAAAAGGCAATATTTAGCATTTGAGTATTTCTCCAAGAGCTCCACCAACGATAATACATTCTCAACACCTCTCTCAAATAAGGATAGACAGGCACAGAAGTCAATTGACTTGTTCAAGGGCACAAGTGGGAACTGAGATTAGACCTCTGAATTCTTGTGTTCATTGCTTCCTCGCATAAATGTCTATGGCTGCAGGAGAAGTTTCACTCCTTACCAAATTCACTTCTTGAACCTTCCCTTCGTGTGGCAGAGAGGGGCTGACCAGGAGCTTCCATCATCAATGGCGGGGAAGGACCTCCTCCACTCACAGGTGATGGCCCAAAAGAGCCATCACGGCTCAGTGGACCTGTGTAAAGGGTGCAACAGTACTTCATTAATCCAGCAGTTATTTTACTCTAAATATTTAGAGCAAATACACCCAGGACTTCACAATCTTTAGAAGAAGGTTGCAGGCGAAGGAGGGAAGAGCAGTATTTACCTCTCCGTGCTGGGACTTGACGGTCAGGTCTGCCTGCAGTCGGTTTTACAATTAATGGTCTTTGAAGCATTGCAATTTTTTGGTTCACTTCTATTAATCTAAAAAATAAGCACAAGTTAAAAAATATTTATTTTGAGTATGCTTTGTCTGTTATTCAGGCCACCTGCATTGTGAAAGCTTACTAATGTCTTTCAGCATGAAGATATATTTAATAGTCAAGTGAATTTTAAAAAGGTGCATCACTGACTCAAATTAATGGTATGGTTGACCTGCTTGTTTAATCTAGAAAGTGTAAGCTACTTGGGACAGGACTGCGACTTCCTTTCATTTGTGCCCAAATGGTGCTGAGCACACTTGACTGAGCTCCACGAATAACTTGTCACATGCTTACTTTTGCCTCAGGTTGGCAGCTTCTCTCTTTTCTTCAGCCAAAGCTCTCTCTGCAGAGCGGGCAATGAGCTGTTCAGGAAAAGAGAAAAACAGGTAATGTGGAAACTGAATGCATTTGGGACCAAAAAATAAGCCACCAAAGTTTCAATCTGTTTTGCCAACTGCATGAACTGCTCCACTCAGGAAGCTAAATGCAAATTAAATAAATCTAACATTGCAGACTATTTAGGAACTGTAGTACAAGGGTCAGAAAAAGGAACACGCTCTTACCCAATTGTCATGGGCCTTCTTCTCATGACCAGCAATCTTAGATTTAAGAAAAAGGAAAAAAGTGGTTTTAGCTTGGTTTATCCAATATTTACTCTATCCCACACTCATCACCATATATCAGAATATATAATAATAATTAATAATAAAAAGATGTAATAATACAATATAAAAAAAGCCAACTATAACCAATGAGCAGGAATATCTTACCTGGTTTTTATAAGACCTCTCGGTTTTTTTCAGCTCTTCCTCCATTTCCAGAATTCTTTGCCTATAAAATATGAAAGATTAAAAAGAAAAATTCCCCCAATATCCAAAGTTAGAACACTGTGAACCTCCAGTAACTGAAATTACTTGTAAACTTTCACTTCCTCAACAGCCAACACTGCTTTTTCATCTGCAGCAGACAATTTCTGCTCCTTCTCTTGACGCTCGTACTCCTCCTGGGTCAGCTTCCTGGACGGAAGAGAGAGAAAGTTACTTCACTATGCTACACATCTAAGATCTTACAGTTGAAAACTAGAAACCCAGCTGGCTGTATCTCATGCCTTCTACCTACAAGAAGAAAGGAGACACTAGAGAAGTGGTGGGCAACCTGCGGCCCACCAGGGTAATCTGCTGGTGGGCTGCGAGACAGTTTGTTTACATTTGCACAGCTGCCTGCAGCTCCCATTGGCCGGGAACGGCAAACCAAGGCCACTGGGAGCTGCGGGCGGCTGTGCAAATGTAAACAAAGTGCCTGGCGGCCTGCCAGTGGATTAACCTGACAGTTGCCCACCACTGCACTAGAGAAACGTGTACAAAAGAGGAGAAAAATGTTCAGGACCCAGAATATTCACAGCCTTCTGAGCCAGACAAGCAAACCAAATCTATATCCTGAGAACCCAAAATCTCAGGTGTAGAGCGGACCAGGAGTGAGAGAGCCTCAGAGGTCTGTTACTAGTAGGTAGCTCAGCTCTACAACTCCCAATTTCTCTGTTTGTGGGAGAGTTTTCCCTATCTAGAGCTGTGCAGATGACAGATGTGAATTCAACTCTATAGAAAGACACTGATAAGGAGATGGACAGATTCTACACTTGACATCCAAATGGCTCAAGAAGGTGTGTAAGTACAAGTAAACGGGGATTTGGGGGGTCTGGGAACAGAGCAGAGAGAAAACATCCTCTCTGCAACAGTTATTGAAGGGAACTGAAGCCTCTGGTAAAAAGTCTCCCTGCCAATTACTATTATTATGTGACCAATTACCAGCGCCGCTTGTTCACCTTGTGTTTAGTTCCCACTCGCCTTCTTCTGACTCCTTTGCAATCAGTCTGAAGTATCCAAGTTACAGGCAACTCTAAAAGTAACTCTCTCAAAAAAGAAGCATTAGCATTTAAACTGATAGTAACTCTAAACCTAATTACTACTAGCAGCTGCTTTCGGGTGGGTGATTTCCTTATTAGTAAGGCTAAGATGTTATCACAGAGGTCATGGAAATCACAGAATCAGTGACTTCCCGAGACCTCGTGACATTTTCACTTCAGCCCCGGGGCAGCGGGACTGGAGCCGTCAACCAGCAGGCCTCCCCCCCACACATTCCCCAGGAGGGATGCCGCCCCCAGCAGCAGGACGACCCCACGGCTCCCAGCCAGCATGGGCAACTTCCTGCAGCTCCTAGCTATCACAGGCAGATCCCACAGCTCCAAGCTGCTGCTGGTGGGGGGGGGACCCTATGCTCTGAGCCACCATAGGTGGGGGTACCTTGGAACCCCCAGCAGCAGTGGGGGCTGGACCCTCCTCCCTCCCCATTTTGTCATAGTTATTTTTAATAAGGGACAGTTCACAGGCTTCCGTGAATTTTTGGTTATTGCGGTCATGACTTTTACTAAAAATAACTACGATAAAATCTTTGCCTTACTTATTAGCTATATTTGGAAAGACTTCCCAGAGGATGAGCATTGTCCACTGAAAGTGTTTCATTCAGATCAGTTTTGCAAAGAGAGTATTAAATGGATGAGAGGATTATCCCTAGTTAACAGTAAATTCATTTTAAAAAATCAGTTTTGGAAAGGATCTGAATCCTCATGCTTCAAGGCACGAGCCAACCTTGAACTACTGGGGGCTAGAAGGAAACTTTCCCTGAGGGCAAGTTGTCCCATAACTGCCTCCTGCAGGGTTTCCTACACCCTCCTCTGAAAGAACTGATGTTGGCCATTGTCAGTTACAGGACTCTGGACCAGAGTCCATCTACTCCAATCAGGTAAGGCAATTTCTTTGGTACTATGTCCTGTTTGTGACAGCCTTATAGTACCTTAAGCTTCCATCCCTTACTGATTTTCTTCCACATAAACAGAGTTTTAAACATTTGTCTCTTCCAGAACCGGGTTATTCTTAGTCACATTTGCTCTTTAGCTGAAAGTGTGGCTCAGAGTCCAGCTCATGTCCCCCTACCAAAGAAGCAGGTTTGTACTTTTAACAACATTTCTGCAACTTAAAAAAAATCCAAACATTAACAAATGGGGAATGAACAGTTAAGGGATCTAACTAACTTCCCAGTGCTGCTTGAGGGCATATCTACACTGTAGCACTTCAGCGAAGACGCTACTACACTGACAGGAGAGCTTCTCCTTTTGTAAAAAGCAACAGAGGGTCCTGTGTCACCTTTGAGACTAACAGAAGTACTGGGAGCATAAGCTTTCGTGGGTCAGAACCTCACTTCTTCAGATGCAAGGTGCCACAGGACCCTCTGTTGCTTTTTACAGATTCAGACTAACACGGCTACCCCTCTGATACTCTCCTTTTGTAGTAGTTAATCCATCTCTGCAAGAAGTGGAAGCTATGTCAATGAGAGAAGCCCTCCCATTGACAAACCACTGTCTACACTGGGGGGCTAGGTTGGAATAACTGTGTTGCTCAGGAGTGTGGATTTTTCACATCCCTCAGTGACGTAGTAACGCTGATGTACGTTTATAGTGTAGACCTGGTCTAATCCTTCACCACTCACTCTACCAGACATTGCCTACCCATCTTAACTTTCTCCCTAGAACTGCAAAAATAGATGCAAAAGGCAAAATGCAATGCTGAAAAAAAGTTAGTGGAAAAACTGATCCCCTGATTACTGAACAGAAATGTATTTACTATTCTCTCTGCAAGATACTAAAAAGGAACTTCTCAGTAAGAACACCATCACAAATAAGGAGTTTGTAAGATAAACTGTTTAGACATAAGGTAAATCAAAAGTTTTCAGCCAAACTTCCCCCCCAAAAGCTTCTACTCTAGGAGCAGATATGTGAAAATTTCAAGAAAGTCAAGTTTCTGGGGAAGCTGTGGTCATATACTGGGCTTACAACCAGAAGCTAGCTTCAACCTTATCTAAGCAGTGTCTATCACCACTCCATGAGAGTTTTGTATATAAAAATGTAACCAAGCAACTCAAAGTGAGGATAGAACAGAGAAGGAACAGTTAGATGGTGCATCTTATATAGGCAGATGGGAAAGAGTAACTACTCCACCTTTAGGAACGGAAACAAAGCTTACTTTTGAAGCGCCATCTCCTTCTGCTGATAAAGCTCATTGAGAATTTCCACCTTCTGTTGCAGAGTTTTACATTCATTTTCAAATCGAGCTTTGGCTGTCTGTAGTGAACAGGAATCATGTTCCAGCTTTTTTATTTGCTCTGCAGGAGACAAAGAGGCCCATAAGGCAGTGACTGGAACTGCTATCAAGCAAGTTTATAAATCACACAGAGTATTTCACACTAAGTGGCTCTTTTGCAGAGCTCACCTTCTAGCTCATGCCTTGCTGCTATTTCATCACTCAGTTTGGATTGCAAAAGATCTCTATCTTCTTCAACTATAGATAATGTTGTTTTTACCTGTAAAGAGGGAAACGAGTATTTTATAAACTTAAATAGTTCCCACATAACTTTTAATTCTATTTGTTAAACAACATAATGGGGTATACCCTTGAGACATCCATCATCTGCTTAATCTGATTCTTCATCTTCTCACTCCGGTTATCTAGAAGAGAAAAGGAAAACAACTACTTGCTTTGTAGTCTCTTCTCTCGAATATTGTTTAGAAAATACAGAGTTTTAAAAAAAATTATCTGACAAATATTTTAATACTGAAACAAGAACAGAATCAAGACTTTAAATCTCTCATATCACTGTTCCAGGACCATCATTTGGGACAAGTTATTAGTCCTTAAAGACATTTTACTGATCCAAAGAGTGAGTTCTGATTACAATTCCCCTCACCCCCAACACCCTTTAGTTCTAACATGAATTTGGTAGCTGTTCTTGTGGACAGTTTTTTTTTTCCCCTAGCACCTGAAAACCTGGTATTCCAGCCTCCAAATTGCATAGGGTGCCAAGGTTAAGATTTCAATGACACACTGGGGATTTGGAAGCCAGTGGGGCATCCAAATCCCCAATGCTGCTTTGAACAATCTCAGTCTAAATCTCTAAATTGAAGTTGCAAGATCTCAGCTGACTAAACAGTTGGAAGTGAACAGATTAAAATAACTCATTTCAATTAACATCTTGATTTTTTTTAAAAGGTCTACTATCTTGAATTACTCACATTAGAAATAAATGCAGCATACTATTGCAAAGCTGAGATCTTAGTTTTCTGAAAGTTATTAATTGCTTGTCTTGCTACACTAGCCTTTAAACACGCCCCTCACTCAGGCAACTCCTCTTAGTGATTATAACAAATCCTATACTTTGACCAGTGACCATTTTAGTCCTGAAATTAGGAGAGAGATTTAATCTCAAAGCAGAACATAAAACAGATGCTCATAACAGATTATCTATTACCTAAACATATTCTGTACCTCTCCCCTGATATGATTTGAGAGCACTACCTCATCATCTATATATGTTTAATTGCTGCATGCACAAGCCAGCCATTATTTAAGATCTCTATACCTGGCAGTTCTCCATTGGCCAGATCGTCTCCTGTGTCCCATCCATTTCCTTCTCCATCCTTCTTGGCCTCAGAATCTGCATCAAATTGCTTTAGCTGCATAATGCAGTTAGTCAAAACCTAATGAAGAAATCAAACGAACAATAAATAGAAGCCACTCTACTTTTGCAGAGTAGTTCAGCCATTTAACATATGGAATATTTAAGATGGTTGCTCTTTAGCAAGAACATACTTCGATTTCATTTTCCTTGTAGGCGAGTGCTTCTTCTATGTCCTTCTGAGACTTCTGATACAGTTTGATCTGTTCACTGAGCTCAGTGTGTCTCTCACTCCAGCCTTCTGCTTCTTGTAGCAGCTAAAAAAGCAACAAGTCAGCATGATTTTTGGCTTTATTTTTTAAGTACTATGTATGTAGAGTGTATTGCCAACTTTGAAATGGTAACTGATCACCAGTGACTATGGAGAGTGTGTGCTTAAATTAACTTGACATTTAACTTGAGAGGATAGATCATCCTCGGACTACTTGAAAATCCAGGTGCTAGAAAATTTTCTTCAACTTGTATTGTTACATAGTTCTACGAATTTTAGTTTTCTTCACACATCTAATATTCAACATTAGAGTCAAAGTGCTCATTTGCTTCTAAATAGTAGAAATTAACTGAAGGTTACCAGCATTCCAGCCACACCCCTAACATAGTAATCAATCTAAAGAGGGGCAGAAGACAGACACACAACACAAGAGGTAGCTTTTGCTACAAAGATGGATCACTGTACAAAATGGGTCATGTTTCAGTATCAAGGAAAAGACAGCTTCAGAATGGCCTCTTGCATTCCAATATCTAGCAAGAGTAGCAATTCTTCACAATGGCTTCACTCGGCCCTGTCTGTAAGTGGTAACATTAGCGTCTGAAATATTGCTTCTGATCAGACACCGGCCATCACATCAACATAGCAACAATTTCATAGAAGGGTTAGCAGTTGGCTCACTGGAACTGGTGAAGCTTTCACAACATACAAATGGAATCAACCTGCCTGCAAAGCTTTGTAAGACATCTGTCAATCAGGGCTAACTCTGAAATAGTGGACTTGAGTTTTATCATACCTCTGACTCATACCAGGATGATCCAATCAACATAAGATACTAGTATTAGGATGATAGGAAGGAATGTGCTAAGACCACAAAGTGTGGAAAGGCTTGGTGTATCAGTGTATAAATACTTGAAAAGCAACCGTTTAAGATCTGCATATGCTGTGGAAACCTCCTTAAAAATCCCATAGGTTTATTTATTCTAGTATTTGACAACAAGAATTAATTGCAGGAGAAATAATTGTGGGACAATTTTTTTTTTTAAACAAAATCCTCAGTTTTCCAACAGACCTAGTGCACAGTGTAAAATATTACAGAATTCAAGGAAGAAACAGAGGTAATGTCAAAAGACTAGTGATGCTTACTTGCTCCTTTCTCTTTTTGAGTCTAGCATTCTCTTCCTGTACATGACGAAGCTCAGACTTCACCTTTTCTTCACTTAGTTTAGCTTCATTGAGGACTATTTGAACCTAAAAAATTTCAACATGTCATTTAAGAATTGTATGTTACGGATTATAGTATATAAAAAAATATGTTAAAAGCAACCCACCCACACACCCCCCTCCAAAAAATTTGGTAGGTTAAGGTTTGCTATCGGGTATTGTGACGGTCTGAGGGTGCAATCGAGACTGGTGAGGGGTCGTGTCACTGCTTGCCCTGCAACCCTGGGTGCCTCACAATGCTTTGCTGTTGTACTTCCCAACCTGGGATGCTTACAACCAAACTACAAGCATTCAGTTTGAAGTGTCCATGTGGTAGACAGCCCTGGTTCAGCAGCTCTGACCCCAGGAGCCTGTCTACGGTCCCACTCTGGCTTCTACCCACCCACACTTTTTTTTTTAAATAACCAGCAAGGTGACACCAACACACTCAATATCCTGAATTTTCCCCAAACCATTTGCTCTGTAATGTCCAGTAACTTCCTGGATAGTTCAGAGAAATAATAAAGGTTTGTTTGTTCCTCTAAAGACACAAAGCACACCACACTTAACTGGGATAAATACACCCTTCCATTTAAACACAGCACTGAGTTGGTTTATAGTAAGAATAAAACACATTTATTAGCATTAGAACATAGTTTAAGTGATGCCATGTAAAAGAATAAAGTTAGAAAGGGTTACAAGTAAAACAAAAGTGAACACATGCATCTAAAAGTCTAAAGTTTAAATCTAGCAAGGTACAGTCTTTGCCTAAGCAAGTTTCTCACCTATATTTAGTTCCCAGAGATGTCAAACACCCGCCTCCTCCAAGGACTCCTTTTTCTCAGCTTGCAAGAGCTGTGTTCCCTTACGTCTGTCTAGTGATAGATGCCAAAAATGGCTTCTCTCCTTACTTATCTTCCAAAGTTCAATTACTTTGTTTGAAGAGGAACGGTAACCTCATGCAGTTCTTTCCTTCCTGTGAGCTTCCCATCCCCCTGCATGTAAATTAGGCATCTACTGTTTTGTTTTCCACTATGCTTAATTTACACAGAAGACAGGTAAATAGCTGCCTTCTCTCTGGTCTAGTAAAGGGAACCTGTTTCTCCCTGTTTTGCCACAGTCTTTAAAATATCAAGTATCCATATTTCCTCATATAGTGTTAATATATATATATTTCACAATTCTATCACCCATCAGTGTGTCATTAGCATCTAGAAAAGACCTCAGTCTATGCACTTTGTATACAATGTTACTGTATTATAAATCAGTTGATTTAATTGTTTATCACTTGTGGTTTAACCCTCACCTTTATACCCCAGAAAAACTTTGAAATGAATTCTTCTGAGGGTTACTCTTCAAAGTAAAGTTTATTCAAGCTGTGAGAAAGGTGACATGGAGTCTGGTGGTAAAGGAAGCTCCATGCTCTTTCTTCCCCACTTGTTAGCTTAATAGCTATGTTTACTTAATATGTAAAAATGGACCTTCATTGTCTTTACCTGAAGACTGGACTGGTCAGAATATCAAATACACATTTCTTTGTCTGAGGTTGACTTGTTTACTATCTCTCCCCGACTGGCCTAGTTTAAACACACTTTAATCGTAATTCCAGTATATATCCATAACTCTTAATAACCACTGTGTACATACATCACACCAGAACATTAACCATCAGTGAGTTACTAGATTTGAAAATGATACTTCAGAAAGCATATTTTGTACAAAGATTATTAAAACAATGTGTAAGATGCAGTGTTCCCTCTAATCTTTCCCACCCATGTGGGGAATGAATTTTGATATATGCACCAATATGGAGGTGATGTGTGACACATCATCTCCATATTGGTGCACATAACAAAATTATTTTGGCAGGGTGGGGCAGAGGGGTTCAGATTGTGGGAGGGGGCTCAGGGCTGGGGCAAAGGGTTGGGATGTGGGGGGGTGATGGCTCCGGCTGGGGGTGTAGGCTCTGGGGTGGGTCTGGAGATGAGGGGCTTAGGTGCAGGGGGGCTCCTGGGGGCTACGGTGGGGAGAGAGGATTCCCCCACAGCTCTCTCCCCCAGCAGTAGCACCTGGGCTGGGAGGGAGAGGCGCCTCTCCCCCGGTCGCAGCAGGTCCAGGGCTTGAGGAGGGGCATCTCTCCCCACCACAGCCCTGAGCATCTGTGCAGTGCTTATTAGGCAGCTGCGCAGCTTAGAGGGAATTTAGGTAAGGTGTGAATACAGGAGTGCTTAAGGTCACAATCTTAATACATGAAGATAGCTGGTACAAAAACCAGCTTCTGTGAATGACTCTGAAGGAAGATCTAGAAAGTGCTTTACCTCCGAAAGCTCTACAGAATGCAGCATGATAACTTCTTGGAGTTTCTCCAAAGACTTCTGCATTTCAAATATCTGCATAAGAAAGAATTAAAGGCGACTCCATTTTAGCTTCACAATTGAAATTTAATTTCAGTTACCATTAAAGAATATATTTTCGAGGTATTTGAACATACCTGAAACTCCAACCAAACTAGATTTTCAGAGCCAGCCCTCAGACTAACTGGAGCACAAGACGTTGCCACACCAGGGGCAGGGGAATTAAAAAAAGTAGCAGCTTGGGTTCCAAGCTACGCCCCTTGCTTTCTAGACTAATAGTGTTTCAGGATCAGTTTCTCCAGCCTGAAGTGAAAGGTGCAGTTTGCTGCTGCCACCTAGCAACAACTTTGACCAAATGAAAAACGTAACACTGAAACTCAATGAAATCTGAGTTTAGTCATCTTTGGGTATGTCTACATTGCAGCTGGTGCCATGCCTCCCAGGACACACAGACACACACTAGCTCTGCTCAAACTAGCACGCTAAAAATAGCGATGCGGATATTGAGAAACAGGCTTGCTGCTGAATACATGCCCACCATATGCCTACGGTCCGTACTCAGGTGGGTAGCTCATGCTGTAACATCCAGGCTGCTGCTTTGAATATGCTAGTTCAGGGGTTCTCAAACTTCATTGCACTGCAACCTCCTTCTGACAACAAAAATTACTACATGACTCCCGGGGGGGTGGAGGGGAGGACTGAAGCCTAAGCCCGATCGCCCCGGGGGGTGGGGAGGCAAAGCCAAGCCTGAAGCCCCAGGTGGTAGGGCTCGGGCTTTGGCCCGAGCAAGTGTAATGCCAACCCTGGCAACCCCAAGACCAGAGCTAGGGCACGTTTGTCTCCCCAGGCATGGAGACATATCCTTTGTGTTAGGAGGATCAACATGGAAAGACTTGGATAAGGGCAAGGGAGACCTTAGAAAACTTCATCCTCGGAACAAAATTGAGGTTCCTAGGGAGGTGATGAAATTTCAGATCAGTTAGGATAACTATTGGAACATAGTCTGAAACCAATATTGCCAGGAAATCCCAGAAAGCAATCCCTCTCTTTGGATTTCAGTGTTTCTACTTTTGGTTGAGACAAGAAAGTGCAGAATCACGTGAATAAAAAGTCAGACAAAACTCTACTTTGAATTTTGGGAGAAGGTTTACCTCAGTTCTTTTTCTGAACTAGTTCACTCAGCCCTCCTCACCTAGACAATTCAGGCACAGCGACCCCGAGCTAAACCCCATTAGGCACCACCAGCCATTATTGAGATCTTACTTTGTCCTCTTTCTTCACATTCTGCTGTCTCTCTGTTTCTAGCATTGTGTGCAAATTTCTCAATCTGTCATCTAGGAGATGGTTTGTTTCTTCAAGCCCCTTGATAACGTCCTGTAATAGAAACAATTCCCAACCAACTAAAGAACAGTATTTGTATATTTTCAGGCACATCATAGAAAGCATGAGCTGCTCTTTACCTTAAGTCCTGCAGCTTCATCTGAGAGACTAGTGTTCTGTTTCTGGGCCACCTTCACAGATTCCTTGGCTTCCTTAATCTAGGTGCACAGAAAGAATAAGATTATAACACAGGAGGTACAAACAACAAATAGTAATACAATACAAGTTTTCTGCATGTTATTTACAAACTGTGTCCCAAATGCCAAACAGAGAAACATGACAGAAGACAATATGCCATGTAGGGTACAGAAATAATGCTAAGGCATTAGCTGTTTATTCACTGTACAGTAAACCAATAACAGAAAATTAAGAGGCATGAAGTAGGCAAATAGTGCAATACCTTTTGGTCATATTCTGACATCTTCTCTAAGATTTCTGTTTTTTCTTGTAGGAGATTTTTAATCTTTTCAGCAAGTTGCTTTTCAGTCACTAAGGGAAAAAGAATAAATCTAATAATTGTACTCCACGTCCTGAGAGAAAACTCAAAGCAGCTATCACCACTTTGTAGACTGTTTTCAAGTGAGGACTATATCACAAAGCAGGGTCTTGTGCATGCCGCCTTTCCATAGCACTCACTCCTTCCTGCACAACTGTGCTATAGAACTTAAGCTTTCATTTACATAAAAGGGTTGGAAAGCAACTGGACACAGAGTTAAGAATTCCCCTGCCATGGGGAAACTTCAGTTGGTGCAGAGCTGGTGTACCTGGCTCCTGTACATCCTTCCTCACAGAGCACAGGAAGTCTGGTCAGAGAGGGACACATTCTGCTTATGCCCAGACAGCGCATGTTTCCTTGGGAACCACTGCAACCTCAGACAGCTCTAGCTTATGTGGGGGTTGAGGTGGGGGCACAGATCTGCCCTGAGACCCAGGGAGCTGCAAATGGCTCCCTGATAGCTGGCTCTCTCTACTGCACCAAACGTAAAATCTGTGCAGCAGAGAATCTAGGCCAAGGTTTCTACCTCTCATGGCTGTGAAGGAAACACTGAGAACATGAGCAGATCCTAAACTGGTGAGCGGTGCTGATGAGCTTGATGGAGCTGTGTTTAGTTCTCATAGGGAGTATTTCTCTGATGAAGCAATAGCCTGGAGAGGTGTGAACTTGCTCCTCCATCTAAATAGCTTGCTAAAATTATCATCTTTAACATCAAAATAATATTGACACTGAAACCTAATCTTTTTCGCAGAAACATCCAGCTAGTATGCTTATCCAAGTCCCAAATTGCCTCCCACATCTCCCTAGGTGTCATAAGCGCCAATTCTCCCGTTTCCAGTTTTCAAAACCTCCAGCTTCCTCTGTGACAATTTCTGCAAGGAAGTTATGCATCCTACCCCTCCATGGCAGGGGGCACCAGTTATTGCTCCAGTAACCCATAAACTGCAGTGCAACTGCTGCCCCTCTCCTCCCCACTACACATGGGGTTTTGACAGCCAACCTCCGCCCTACTGAGGGTGGTATTTGAATTGTTGCTCGTGGCTGCTGCCTTTATCCTTAACTTGGAGGTGTGAGCTGTAGCAATCAGAAGCCCTAGTATCCAATGTTTCATCTTAATCCAGGCAGCCAATCCATGCGGCACCTTAATATTAAAAGATAAGCACTGCCACAGCACGGCACACATGGCTCATGCTGGCTTCCCTTAGCATATACAAAGATCTTAGCTATGTGTTCTCTTGAAAAGGAAAAGAAGACTAATACTTAGCCCTCATAACATGTGTTCAAAGTGTTTAAACGACACTAAGAACACTGAAAAGCATAAAGCATCTTACCTTGATACATTCTACTCTTTACCTACAGGAGAAAACAAGAATAAAAGGAACTGGTCACAAAAAGAGTTATTCAAAGGCTTCTATGAATCCCTCCCCAAAGGGGGGAAAACAACTGTGAGAGGGAGATTGTTAGCCTTAAGTGTATGTGGCCTGAATTAGCATATTGAAAGATCTACATATCTATCTCTGTTAATTAAAGTGTCAAGTAACATTGAATAAACAAGCTTAGCTAAGAAAAGCTTCTAGGCTAATGCCCTATTTCAGAGCCTGGGTAAAGGACTGTTTATTCAACCATTAGGAGGGCACAAATAACCCAAATTAGAATAAATTAATAAAAAATTAACCAACTGTACATCAAACGATCATCCCAAATTTGCAGATGTTGGGGGGGGGGGGGGAGGGAGCACACAAACCTAGCTGCAATCAACTAGTTAAAATGAACTACATTTGTACAGAAATTACTATTTTCCAAGCAACTACTACTACAAAAAAAAAGACATAAAACTCTCCTTCTTATGCCCTTAAAAATTAAGACGACTTTGTGTGAGATCCAGAATCAGTGCATTAAGCAACAAAGCTAGAGTGATGAAAAAAATCAATGCTGTCCCAAAACATGTTTGTTTTCCATATTATTCTACTTTACACAGTAAGAGGCGTAGTCAAATGTATAGAATTTAAAGTGTTTATTCTCACTTAATTTAAAGGTCGCAAAATAAATGGTCACTTTAGCAATCTAACTTTAAATGCTAATTCCCAAATGGATGACACTGGAAAAGAAAGTACATTTGAAGGCTGGTCTAGGATAAATACATTGCCCAGGCATTTGTTTGTGGAAAAGGGAAATGTGAAACATTCTGTGTGGAGTGGGCAAGAAGTGGGTTATGGAGGGGCTCTGCAGCTGCAATGAAGACTAGCTCTCCTACCAGGGAACTGAAAATGGTCAGCTGAGTGGTCAAATGCTTGTTATGTAGTTGGTTGGGGATTGGATCAGGCACTTAGGAGGCACAATTTCTATAGGCAATTTTACTCTTCCTCAGCATTCTAAGGTTTCCATAACAACTTCCTGCAATCTTGGAACTATATATTGACTGTTACTGAAATTTTCACTGTGATAGTTTGATAGACTCACTCCACAAATTAAAGAATATTGGTTTCAGTTTTAAAAGAAACTGTTAAACACTAAATTAATGTTAATTATCTAAATGGGAAAGGTAAGAAAAATATTGCTTTGATACTTGTAGCATTACAAGTATTCAGCCATAAGGGCCCAACATCACAAAGTACTAAACATCAGTACGCTCATAAACTTAAAGTGTACTCACTGAAAGGCAGGTTCTCCAGAACAGTATACCTAGAGTAGCAATTCCCACCAAGGCAGTGATAATGATGGGCTCCCATGGAAGTCCATGAAAGTCAGGCCCAGGCCGAATGTCCTCAGGCAGTGTGGCAACCAACTAAAACAACAGGGTGGACAACCATAAACAATTTTTTTTTAAAGACCTTTTACACAGAAAGAGCAAAAGAAGCAAAACTCCATCTTCTAGTCATAAAACCAGAGAGGACTATCCAAAACCTTCTAGGGTAGTCATAACTGTCTCAAATGGCCTGCAAAGAGCTCAGTGCTAGAACATGCCAAGGAAATGTAATTAGCCTAAAGAAGCATCTGTGGAGCCATGAAGAAGCTTGATGGTTGGGTTTGGCAACACAGATGCAAACAATCCGATCACATTTCTACTTGAAAAAAAATGTTTGAATATCTGAAGAACCTGGAAGTTAGGGGCTTCTATACAATTTAACCAACCAACACTCCCTAGAAGCCACCAACTTCTTTTTAAAAACAAGGCCAAGTGGATCACATTTATAGTTATAGATAACTAATCAATTAGCTCTTCAGCACATGAAGTCATTCCTTTTTACATTTCCCATCATTAGCACAATACTGAACCCATAAGAAAATACAAGCTTGATAGTCTGAACATTTTCTCACTCCCCTAGCTTCATCCTTGCCAAATGGTCTCTTCCCATCTCTGATATAAAAGTTAGGTTGGATAAGACAATTTTATTTTAACACATTTAGCCACTGAGTCCTCTTTTTAGCCACACAACTAAAACATGCAATCTTCCATAACCTTTGAAAAATTAAATGTTAAAGGCCAAAGATCCAGCTCATCCAGAGATCTGTCTTGTTTCAACAGTCTTTTTGAATATACAACGCACTTATGTGCAAAAAAATCATACCACCAACCCACAAGCCCAAACAAAAGACAATACACCCCAAAATAGTCCATCTAATGTTACAGCGACAAAAACCTCTACCAATTTTCCTACTTTACTTTTACCTAAAGCTTGCAGGTATGAGAAACAATTTGTGAAATACTGGGAGAATGGGAGTGACCTAACAGAAAGCGGAAATCCATGACAGCATTATAATGGGCTATATGTAGCTAACGGTGATAACATAAACCGCAGTAAAATGGAAAGAACAAGTAATCGCAAGAGAATTTATTCCCTGGCTGGGAAGTTACTGAACATTGAGGAAACGAAGACTCTTCCTCCCCCAACGCACCCAAGGCCTAGCTCTCAATACCCAGCCATCTTCTCCTTCCCACCCCCCAGCGACAACGGACCCACCACCTCCACGCGAGGAGGGGCCAGCCCCACTCCGTGCCCCGCCCCGCCCCAGGCCCGGCTTCCGTGCCGGCTCGCTGCCCCGCCGCGTCAGTGGGTTATGACGGGAAGGGGGAGGGGAACAGGCCGGCGGGTGTAGCGGTGACTACGGCCCAAGCTCACAGCGCTCGCTACCCCGGCGGCCCCCGCCCCCTGGGAGGCGCCGTGCAAAGGGGGAGGGGGGTTCGGGCCCCGGCTCGCGCTCAGGGGAATCCACGCGAGCCGCCCGGGGAAGGGGAAGGGCTCCCACCTGCAGCAGCCGGCCCGTGAGGGCGGCGTATCCCCGGGACAGGGGCCCCAGCAGGAGCGCGGTGGGGCCCGCGGCGGTGGCGGCTGCCCCGGGCGGGCTGGAGGGGGCCGCGGGCTCCATGGGGAGGGGGACGGCAGTTGGCGGCGCTGAGCGAACTTCGCCTCCTTCGCTCGCCTACAACAACACGTCACCTCACGGTGACCCCGGCGCCGGCCTCTCGCGTCATCGCCCGGCGCCGGCAGGGGAGGCGCGGGAACCCGGAAGCGGCTCCGAATCTACGCCGCCTTCCCCCCCCGGGCGGAGCGGGGCCGTGCGCGAGCCGCGATCCCTTGTGCTCCGCGCGCAGCCGGGCCTGGGGCCGCAGTTCCCCAGCCGGGGCCCGGGCCGTCAGAGGCTGCGCCGGAGGAGAGACGGCTCCGTGTCCTGAGCTGCCGGGCGTGTCTGCAATCACAGTCCGCTCCCCCTGCCTAGCTTACGCAGGTGCGAGAGAGCCCCAGCCAGCCCTTCGAGCGGGCTGACCTGTCCCGCTGTCCCCGGCTACCACCAGCGGGCACCGAGCACTAAGGGGGATGATTTTATATCATTTTAATTACCCGATACAACTTGCGTGGGGGCACATGCCAAGTTTAGCTTGTGCCTGTAGATATACAAATCCAAGCTAAACACAGACAGTTTTCAATCCATTCAAGCTAAAGTGGTGCAACTTCTCTGTTTATAGGAGCCCTCAGAACTCTCACACCGAATTTAATTTCATGTATTCCTACAATAGAATCATCTTTATAAACAATTTTCAGTTTGGATTGGGTCATTTTAATGCCGCAGGTATCTGTTTTTCTGAAGCCAGTCTATAGTCCCCCGCTCCCTAAACAGCTTTCTTTGCAAACAACCCAATTTTCATTTTATACATTTTTCATACAGTGTTTCACAAAATTGTTTTGGAGATGCCTCAGTACGCCAACTATGAATGCTCAATTTAAAAAAAAATCAACATAAAATTAAATAATTTTAAAAAGTACATGCCATACTGTACTTACAATATCTGTGAATGGTCGCATGTTTTCTTTAGCTAAAACAGCCACATCATTGAGAGTTATATGCGGTACAGCAGGATCTGCTTCTAAGTGAGGACTTTCAATCTTCACAGTATCATCCGCAGTAGTAACTATACCTTAGTTAAAAGGAGGAAAAACGTTAATTTCAGAAATATTTTAAGTAAACCTACAGAACTACCTACAGTACACCTTAGTATTTATTCCTAGGCCCTGTCTACAATATGGAAGTTTTTTAAAATTAGTGTTCACGTGGTTGTGAGACCAAGGATTGTACCTCAGAAGTACCTGGCTCATAGACTTCTGATCTAACAATGCTTCACCATGGAATTGTTGCTGTGGCAGAATTTGCACATGCATCTCTTTTCTCCACCATTACCCAGAATTCCTACTAATAGCACTTGAAAGTGATGTTTGACCACTCTAAAATTAGGCTATCATGCATATATACTCACATCCAGCACATCGCTCGCCCGCGCCGCTTCTTGCCGCCCCCATTGGCCCGGGACGGCGAACCGCGGCCAGTGGGGGCCGCGATCGGCCGAACCTGCCGCGTCAGCAGGTAAAAAAAACTGGCC